CTTTCCAACCTACAAGTAGACACTTACTATTTACATCCAGAGTGCAAGATTTCCCACAATTGAACTCATCAACAATCAAGCAAGCTTGATACAACTAATTTCTCATTTCAAATTAAATCAGTGAATTGAAAGTGAAAAGTGCCAATTAATTCAAAATTCCAATTCCCCGAAGCAGGCGGGTAGGAGAAGTTGAAGAATGTCGTCGCGTCGCATCACCAAGCAAGGATTGATTATTGGATTTCGAATTGAATTGGGAATTGGGTGAATTGGATTTGGGCCTATATATTATATAATTAAGGATTGGGCTGGCAAACAAATGGCCCAATCCAATTACAAAATAATAATACAAAAAGATGATGGGCTGGGTCGCAAGGGCCCAATTTCAGAACAAAACAAAACAAAAATAAAAATAAAAAAGGAGAAGAACTGAAGCGTGAATTTGACGAACCAGGTTGCAAAACCCTCGGCGATGCTCGTCCATCTTCCCCAAAAGATGATGGGCCGGGTGCTTGGACCGCCACCGATTGGCTCCCAATATACTGACCATATGATTGTAACTAAATTTAGGTAATCACTATCTCGTAACGAATTTAGGTGATCCATAAGACAACCACGTGCAATTAATTTCTTTAGTACGGTGTCCTATAAATTAATCAATATTTTACTTGGTCCAGTGCAGTACACTTCCACGTGTATTTACTACATTACTCCTGAATGGTCAATCACTATGACCAAGACAAACTGCGTACCCGAATTAATAGAGTAATTGACCTTCCAACCCAGATAGTGTGGCAACCTCTATAAGTGGACCAGTTCTTCTCGATTGAAATACAAGATGACCCTTAATCACTTACTCTAATATTCAATGGATAACAAACTCAAAATGAATAAATAAGAGAGAATTTTACAAATTTCAGTTATGCCCTAAAACTATTGGACATCAAACCCAACACATCTTCTATATATAAAAAGTGCCTATGAAATGGAATTTCTTGTTTTAACGGAAAATTTGACGGAATTTGTTATTTTTAACGGAAAATCTTTTTTCTCCGTTAGTTTTATTGTTTCCATTAAATAGGTAAAAAAAATTGTTCTTTGATTGGTTTAACAAGTTACTTTCCAACTTTCAGCCCATTAATTGACAGGCCCAGGAAGCATGTGAAACATTTGTTGGCCCATTTTTTAATAGGCAAACTTTCTTGTGCTTCATTTATAGAATTTCGATGTGGGACAAACTCTTTGGCTATGTTACTGTGCAAGCAAGTGAAGAGAACAAGAAACTTCCTCCACACTGGTAAAGCCACTTCCTCCACAGGTTCGAATCTACAAACCACCAGTAAAGAAACTTCTGCCACCAGTCGTCACACCCCATTCATATAGATAACCATACTTTAAACTTTGCCAAAATCCCCTATTATTTTTTTTAAATGAAAACTTCTCCAAAAGTATATTCGAAATAAAAGATCATAAAACCATAGTCCAACATATTTATTCTAACGTTATAAAAATATCTACATGTCATTTCAAACATCATACAGGATTCAAAAAATATAATAACTGAAGCCCCCAAAATAACCCTACAGGTCGTCATCCATGTACATCGAAATTTGAAATCCCGTAAAAGCTCCACAGCTAGCCACGCTTTCTACGAAGTTCCATGCTCACCTAAAATGCAGGAACTACATAAGCTAAT